CCCCCACGCTCCCCTCCCCCCCACCCCACTACGTGCTCAGCTCCCCTCCCCCAGCCCCTGAGCACTCCGTTCACCCCCCCCCCCCAGCCTGGCTGGCTGAGCAGTGCCCCTACCTGCCGCCTCCTCCGCAGTCTGGGCAGGGGGTCTGGGCCGTGGTGACGCAGGGCAGCAAACAGGCAGCCTCGGGGCAGAACACAGCAGGGTCAGGTGGGGGTGATGATGGGGCTGGCAGGCAGGGCCGAGGCAGAAGGTCCCAGGGCTGGATCCTCCAGCCGGGGACGGGGGTCTAGTGGGAGGCAGAGCCAGGGCCGCCCGGGGGGGGGCAAGTGGGGCAATTTGCCCCAGGCCCCGCAGGGGCCCCCACGAGAATATAGTATTCTATAGTATTGCAACTTTTTTTTCTGAAATTGCTTTGCCCCAGGCCCCCTGAATCCTCTGGGCGGCCCTGGGCAGAGCCAGGGCTGTTGCTGGGCAGGGGTGGTTAGAGGAAGCGCCAAGGTGGAAATGACCAGGTGTGATGATGTGGGAACTTTTTGCAATACTTTGTATGACCCCTATGTGTGCCTGGCCTGGGAACAGCTGGGAACAGGTTTGCTCTCCAGGGAGGCTAAGAGACACTGGTTGGGGGAGGGGGGGGGTTGCTTTGAGCGGACTGACCGGTCCTTAAAAAGGACTGGCCAAGGCCGACCCATATCAATACAAAATCCAAGACGACCCCATGGAAAACCCACTCACCAAGACATTGACATTCAGCAACCTACAGCCCAGAGGGAGGGGGCTTTTCCTGCCTCTCAGCAGGGAAGCGGAGCAGAGACCCCTGCTCCAGAACAAAGGGCTCGGAGCGAGGTGGGGGCTCTGCAAGGCACTTGGGGGCCCTCTCCCCTGGGAACTGACTAAGAAGAAGTCAGAGAGACAAAGCCTGCAAATGGAGGTCACTGCAGCTTGGCAGGGCTCTGGGCTGGTCAGAATGGACAATGCTTTAATCTGCAGTTCTCGGGGCTTCCCTAAGGGCTCCCTGTGCTGGGTGCCAGCTGATTAATCACCCCCCTGTTCTGGGGAGCGTCACTGGGAATACCTGGGGAGGGGCATCAATCCCGGCTGAGGGGCAAGTCCCTAACCAGAGACCGTGGCAGTGGGATTGGCTGAGCAGAGTGCCCGAGGTGACCCCCAGAGGACCAGGCTCAGGAGGTGGTGAGCTCATGTGCCCCACCTAAAGGAAGGATGAGACCCGTGGGGTCTGGTACACTGCAGGGTTCCTCCCAGAGTCCGTTCCAAAGCTGGGGAGGGAGGGATAGCTCAGTGGTTTGAGCATTGGCCTACTAAACCCAGGGTTGTGAGTTCAGTCCTTGAGGGGGCCATTTAGGCATCTGGGGGAGCAAAAAAATAGTTGGGGATTGACCCTGCTTTGAGCAGGGGGTTGGACTAGATACCTCCTGAGGTCCCTTCCAACCCTGAGATTCTATGACCCGACACCAGGTGAGAAGGGAGCTAGCTCTCAGGCCGGGCATGCCAAGCAGGCAAACCCACCTTGAGGGAAGCCCATAGAATGGACATGGGGGGGCCGAAGCAGCTTCTGTAGCTGTAGGAGCAGCTTCGCCTCGGCTCAATGGCCCCAACACAACATAAGGGCCACTGTGACATGGGGAGCGGGGCTCACAGGCACCACTCACCTGGCTCTGTGCACCCCGGGGCGGGGCGGGGAGCAGGCATGCGCTGGATCAGGTGAGGCAGGGGCCCCTGCACAGGGAACAAGAGAGCAGGAAGGTCACCGGTGGCTTTCCCAGCTCCAGCCTGGGCCACAGCCCCCTTCGCAGGGCAGGCTGGGACCAGGAGCTACTGTTCCTTGGTTTCCTGTGTGTGTGGCGGGAGGGGGAGAGCTCCCCATGGACGGGTGGGTAACACCAGTGCACTGGCCACCTACTGCTCAGGGTCCCAGCGCCAATCTGATGGGAGTTGCCCTCGCCCAGGGACTGGAGTCCCAGCACCAAGGCCCGTTATCCACACCCAGAAGTGCGAGTCCCAGGGACAGGGAGGCATCGCCAGGCCTGGCTGCTGTGTTTCAGCCCCTTGGCTCCACACTGACACCAGGGATCATTAATTAATGACTTCTGTGGCTGGAGGGGCCGGGTTGCTCCGGCTGGGCCAGCGGCAGGGTGGCAGGGATAGGATTTCAGCCCTGCCATGCTGCCCAGCGGCTGGGTTATCGGCCTCAGGGTGAGAGCAGGGGATGGAGTGGGGGAGGGACCACTGCTAGCCAAGATCCTGCACAGATCTGGCAGCTGGAGGGGAGGCCCCTCATGGCCCGACACCGTTACCCCACCCACCGGCGCTTGAGGGCCTCATATACCCCACAGGGGCTCTCACCCCAGCAGCCCTGGTAGGCACATCCTGCGGGGATGGCATGGGGCTGGGGAAACCGAGGCAAGGCTGGGGGAGGGGAGACACTCCATGGACTGGGAGCGTGGGGGAGGGGGAAGCTAATGACTGGATGGGGAGCAGACGTCAATGGAATCTCCTTCCATTTGCTGCCATGGCAACAAGGGGAAAGGAGGCACTCTGGGAAATCCCTCTGGCTGCAGCCTGAGCTGCAGGGCTTTGGATTTAAATGGGCCAGTGCAGGCGATACCAGGACCTGGTGTCCGAGCGCCCAGAACCTGGCACCAGTGTCCGAGCGCCCAGGACCCAGCAGCACTGGTGTCCGAGCGCCCAGAACCTGGCACCAGTGTCCGAGCGCCCAGGACCCAGCAGCACTGGTACCGAGCGCCCAGGACCCAGCAGCACTGGTGTCCGAGCGCCCAGAACCTGGCACCAGTGTCCGAGCGCCCAGGACCCAGCAGCACTGGTGTCCGAGCGCCCAGGACCCAGCAGCACTGGTGTCCGAGCGCCCAGGACCTGGCACCAGCGTCCGAGCGCCCAGGAAGGCTGGGCTGCTGGTGGCTGGCCGTGCTGTGACCCTGGGCCTCCCCTTCACCTCCCTGGGGAACAGGAGCTGGGTGAGCGGGAACCCAAGTAGGCAGCACGGGGGGTGATGGAATTCCAGCCCAGCCCTTACCTGCCAACGCTCGGCTGCTCTGCGGGGCTCAATCAGGTACATATCCCTCCCGTCCGAGAAGACACCGCTGCAGGGAAAGCAGACACCCTTTTGTCACAGATGGATGCAGACCCACTCCCCTGCTCCTCCCCGCAACCTGCCAGCACCACTGGGCAGCAAGGGACCTGCAACCCAATTCCCCAGCCAGTTTGCTGCCCCGCAGAACAGAACAACCCTCCCACTCCCTGGACTCAAAGCCAATGCAATACTCTGGATTGTCCAGCAGGGCAGGGCCATGACACCCACCCTCATCCGAATCCCCCTTGCAAGAGTGCTCCCTCCCTCCCCACTGCCACTCCAGCATCAGAGCCTCCTGGGGGCTCTGTCCCTGTCCCGGCTCAATCCGCTCCCGCCCCCCCATGCCCGCGGTGATACTCACTGCAGACCACGGCAGCTGGACAGAGCTGCCAAGGACCTCGCCTCCCCTCGGAGTTTGCCCTGATAGTAACAGTGCTCCCCCGCTCCCTGCAACAGACCAATGGGGCAAGGAGAGCCATCAGCCACCGCAGCGGAGAGGGAGCACCGGCTAGTGATTGGAGGCGATTGGGAGCCAGGACTCCTGGGCTCTAGTCCCTGCTCTGGGAGGGACCACGGTCTAGTGAAGAGAGCAGGGGACTGGGAGTCAGGACTCCTAGGTGCTCTTCCTGGCTCTGACCAGGGGCAAGTCCCAGCCCCTCTCTGTGCCTCAGTTCCCCCCAAATGGAACATGGGATGACAACTTGCAGCCACTTCTTGGTTTAGGATGCCAAACCAAAGTTTGCTGCACTGGAATTGGGGTCCCCCTGCACATCTCTCAGATTGTAACAACAGCTTCTGTCAGATGGACAAGCCCCTCTGCACATGTGTGTGCCCTCATGTGCTTGTATTCCAGGTGTGTGCCTATACATGTGCAAGTGTGTGTCTCTATGTCTGGGTACGTACCAACCTGCATGTGTGCCATGCTGTGTCTGTATGGGGGTGGGGTCTTTTATCCTCTGTGTGGTTGTTTGTCTGATCTTTGCATGTAGCTGCCTGTATGCATGTCCTAAAGAGTGTGGGTCCTTTGCTCCCATTTTCATGCCCATGTCAATGTCCCTGTGCATCCATATATAGGCTTTACCCTACCTGCACACCTGTCTGCAGGTGCATGCATGTCCTTGCGTGTAGGCGTGTCTGCCCGGATGTGTGCGTGCACCTGTCTGCATGTGCATCATGTTCCCACTTAGTGCAAGACCATGTTTGCCAATAGCAGTGTACAGACGCCCTTGTCTGTGTGCACGGTGCCCTTCCCCTCCAGACGCCTGTGCACGTGTGTGCAGCCCCATCTCCACAGGCTCGCGTGACGCACCAACAGCAGCCTTGCTCCACTGTGTCTATTTATAGGAACCATCTCTGCACAGGTTACATAGCCTGGGGCATCCAGCGGGGCAGATGGGGGTCCCCAGTCACCACAGCCCCAGGCTGGCACTGAGTAGGGGGAGGACTCGAGGAGAGGCAGGGCATGAGCAGGGCGGCCCAGAAGGGCAGGGAGAGGGTGAGGGCAGAGGAGCCCCTGGCGGGACAGGGCGGAGCAGGCAGCCCAGCCCCTCCCCGCCTGTCTGTTTCCCATTCCCTCGGCATTACTGCTGCTCCACTTCCAGGGCTGGCTTTGTGTGAGCGGCACCGTGAAATCTGCATGACAGGCGGGGTTGCCGGGCGAGAGACACGCCAGGCTATTTATGGACGGACCCATTCATCTTTTTAACATGGCCGTGGCCCGCTCCCCCACCCCTCCGCTGGCTGGGCGAGAGTCCCAGCAACCTGGTGTCATTCTGCTGCCCTCCCACGTGCACTAAGGGGGCTGCCCCCCGCCCCAGGCTGGGGAAGGGTGATGTGATCGCTCTGCCAGCGGGCCAGAGCAATGGGAGCAGCTGAATGACCCCCTTCACCCCCATACGCCCCCCCTCCCAGAAGGGAAATATCTTCACAGCCCTGCTGACCTATTCTGGGGGCAAAGTCCAGATGCATCAGGACCCCTCCCCTCCTGCTATCCCAGCCCTGGCCTCCCCGACACAGCTCGGTCAGCGCCCTCAATCCTGACCCACAGCCTCCTGCTATCCCAGCCCTGGCCTCCCCCACACAGCTCGGTCAGCGCCCCTCAATCCTGACCCACAGCCCCCTGCTATCCCAGCCCTGGCCTCCCCCACATAGCTCGGCCAGCGCCCCTAAATCCTGACCCACAGCCCCCTGTTACCCCAGGCCTGGACTCCCTCCCACAGCTCGACCAGCGCCCCTCAATCCTGACCCACAGCCCCCTGCTATCCCAGCCCTGGCCTCCCCCACACACAGCTCGGCCAGCGCCCCTCAATCCTGACCCACAGCCCCCTGTTACCCCAGCCCCTGGGGCTTTCCTAAGTAGAGACAGACACGCGTACTCAGTCCTCCCCAATTGCTTGGTGGGTCTCGATCACAGACAGCTGGAACTCGACTGAACCCCTACGCTGAGTGCCCAGGTGTTGGCTGGCATTGATTGTCTGCTGACCCATGTGGCCATGGGGACATCCCCTGAGCTGTCTGGGGAGGGGTCTCTGTGTCATGTGTCTGTGTAGCACCCAGCACAGTGCCCCGATCCCCGATGGGGGTATGCAGGCTCCCCCGAAAGAGCCCAGAGCGAGCTGATCTGCAGAGGCGGTGCCCAGGCAGCCCAGAGCCGCCCCACCCGCCTGGTCCGGATTCGTAGATTCCCAGCATTCTAAGTCAGACGGGCCATTAGATTATCTAGTGACCAGCACAGGACGTTACTTCAGCCACTTCTCCCTGGGCTGAGCCCAAGGGTTGTGCTTCATTAACACATCTTCCAGCAAGGCCTGGAGCCGCAGACACCAAGAGATGGAGAACCCCCCCCCCCACCCCGCTCGGCACTGCCAGTCCTTTCACTTCAGTAGAGTACACGTCTGCACACATCTCTGCTTCACAGACGTGCCAGAGATAACCAACGTTCCCAGCTGCTTCGGACTGATCATGGCGGGTCCCATCTAGCTCCCTGGCCAGCTGCGACTGAGTCCCTGCCCCGCACCTCAGAGAACCCCTGATGTGCCCAACCACCGGCTGCCTGGCTGCAGACCCCTCCAATCACTGCCCTCCTTTGCTGAGCTCCAGTTCATCTGCAAATTTGACACCATCAGCTCAGGATTAACCAAAGACTGTGAATGGCTTTCCAACTACAGAAGCAGTTTCTCCTCCCTTGGTGTTCACACCTCAACTGATAGCAGAGGGCCTCACCCTCCCTGATTGAACTAACCTCGTTATCTCTAGACTGATTCTTGCCTGCATATTTATACCTGCCTCTGGAAATTTCCACTACATGCGTCCGACCAAGTGGGTATTCACCCACAAAATCTTATGCTCCAATACATCTGTTAGTCTATAAGGTGCCACAGGACTCTGTCGCTTTTTACAGATCCAGACTAACACGGCTCCCCTCTGGTACCTGCCCTCCTTTGGTGACCTTCTGGGGCATCCGTGCAGCCGCCATAAGAGGAGAAGCCAGGGAGCTTCTCAGTAAGGAGCCGGAGGGAGCAGCTTGGCATGCGTGCCCGCGGCTGTCTGTGGCTCTGACTAGTGCGCCAGGCTAGAGCAGCAAGGGGAGCGTCAGGTGGGGAGGAGGGATACGTAGCCCAGACGCGTCCTGTCTGCAGCAGGGACTCGCTGTGCTCCATGCAGCTGATTCTTTCTGTCTCCTGGGCCTCTACAGCCAGCGGAGCCGGGCTCGCCTGGTGTGTTGCTCTGCTGGGAACGCAGGCACGGTCAGATTTTGGGGCCTGCCTGTTGGGGACTTAGCACGCAGGAGGCCAGAACCAAGTGGGGGAGGGATAGCTCTGTGGTTTGAGCATTGGCCTGCTAAACCCAGGGTTGTGGTTCAATCCTTGGGGGGGCCATTTAGGGAACTGGGGTAAAAATCTGTCTGGGGATTGGTCCTGCTTTGAGTGGGGGGTTGGACTAAATGACCTCCTGAGGTCCCTTCTAACCCTGATAGTCTATGATTCTATAAGCCACGAAAACCACCCTGGAGAGCTCAGGAAACAAGAGGAAAATGGAAGAAGGAGGAGATGGATCACAGGAGGAGATGGATCACAGCCAAGGCCAGGAGGACCGGCCCAACCCAGCCACGTTCCTGCACCTCCAGGGAAGGCAGGGGCTGGGCCAGAAAACACCCCTCTCCTCCAGGGCTGGCTTTAGGCCAATTCAACCAATTCCCCTGAATCAGGCCCCACGCCCCGGTACGGCGGACCAGCAAGAGCCAGTGCGTCATACTGGGGTGGCCTGGCTTCTCCAGTGGAGCCCCAGGCCTTTTAAATAACCCCTGGGTGGCTGCTGCTGCTACCCCAGTGGGGGAGGGGGCACTTACCGTACAGGGTGGGCTGTACCCGCTGGCTGCGGGCAGCCCTTGCTGCACCCTCCTGTGCCCCTGCCTGAAGCCAGCCAGCCCCACACCCCTTGCCCTGCCTGCAGCCAGACCTTACCTCCAGCCAGCCCCATGTCCAGTGGTGCCCTGCAGTTCCCAGGGCAGTAACCCTGCACACCTGCTTCAATGAGGGGGGCAGGGAGCAGCTGGGACCCACACATGTGAAACGAAGCTCATTTCTAGTTCAGGCCCATCTTTTTAAAAAAGAACTTTAGGTAGGGTTAACATACATCCGTATTTTCCCAGACATCTCAGGCTTTTTGGTTTTTAAATCGCCGTCCGGGAGGAATTTTTAAATTTTAAATTTAAAAATTCCTCCCAGGAAAATACGGACGTATGGTAACCCTATTGGTACAAAAAATACATACTGTGGCACATCCCTTAAATCAGAACTTTTTATAGGGAACCAGTTGCTAAGAAATGAAAGGTCTTTTTTTACGTTTTTTTTTTTTTAGTCATCCCTGCTGGGGCCCCGCTGAAAATGTTTGAATTGGGCCCCGCACTTCCTAAAGCCGGCCCTGCTCTCCTCCCCCAAGGCCTGGCCAGGAGACGTGAGCACAGGAGAGAGGTCCTGTCCTGCCTTCTCCTCTCATTCACTAGCCTCTGCACCGGGGGGCTCATGCTGGGGTGGCCAAACTGCAGCCCCCCACCTATAAGCCCAGGGGAGGACACAGGCTGGTCAGTGGCAGAGGTGCCAAGCAGGTGGGGGTGGCGCTGGCCCAGATGCCGCTGGGCTGCAGCAGGCAGGATGGGGGAAGGCAGCTCAGGGGGTGGCAGAGCAGGCGGGGGGGCGCCGGTCCTTGGGCCAGCTGGACTGGCATTAACCCTTCATGTTGCATGCATGCTGAAGAGGCTGCCATGGGCCATACCCAAGTGGCACAAGGCCAGGGCGGGGAGTGGGCACTCGCAGCCATTGACCCTTTTGGAGACGAGGGCCCAGGACCCAGACCGGGGGCCAGGGTAGCTCGGGTGGGGGGGTGCAGTTAAAGGGACAGGGTCTCATTTGTTCCGCTGACTGGTGCTCACAGCCGGTGCTCTCAGTATTGGTGATCACACCACAACCCAGTTCACCGTCACCAGCCCCCAAGCTGCTGAGCCCAGGGCCTGGAGTGGCCACAGCCTTGGGGGAGGAGGACCTGCCCTGGATTTCCATCCCCCTGGAGCTGGGCTCTGGCTCCCTTGGTCTGGGGCTGCACGGAGTCAGGCTCCTCTCGACAGCGGTACCTCTGGTGCTGGCCAGTCTCAGGCCTGGACGCAGGGGGCTCTGGGGCCCGAAATGACCCTGCATTGTCCCATCGGGCCTGTGCTCCCCTCGGCGCCGAGAGGCGGCTGGCGGCATTTCCCCAGCTCCACGCTCGCTGAGCCGGGCAGAAGCGCGGCGCAGCCATGACCTGCTAGTCTCTGGCCTTGTGCATCACCGTGTGCAAAACTTGCACCCTGATGGGAGCGCCATTCCACTTGCCCCCCCCCACCTCCCGCGCCACCAGCTTCCTGGCCTGGCAGCGCCAAGCGGGGTCGGCCCCGGGCCCAGCACCCTGTCTTCGCCAGGGGCCAGCACCAGATGCTGCAGAGGACGTGGGAGGAACCCCACACAGCGGGAGAGGGATAATCTGCCCCTGCAATAGGTCTCATCCTAGTCAGAGATGGGCTCAAGCCCTGAAGCCCCAGGGTTACTCTCCTGCCACCGTTCATTTATTAAGAGACTCTTGTACAGCAGAAATGCCTGGTCCCTGTTTGAATCTTGCCACGTTCTTGGTCTCAAGGCCAAGGCTCAACTCACTGTGGCAGTGAGTTCCACAGGCTAATTATTCACTGGGTGTAAAAGTATTTTCTTTGCTGAGTTTCAAATTTGCCACCTATTCATTTCATGAGACGGTGCATCACTCATTTAACTTTGCTCATTTCATTCCCATTCTAGTCCCCGGGCAGCCAGGACCCGCCCGCTCTCCTGAGTCCCGGCCAGCGGCCTGGCCTCTCCCAAAGGCTGCTCCAGCCCAGTCCGCACTGCAGCACGGGGGACTGGGCCACTGCTGCATGACGCCGGTCTCGTCCTGCGGCTCTACATCTGCCTGGCCCCTCAGTCTTCTCGCCATGAGCGCCCGGCCAAGCCCACCCGCCCTGTGCCGCTCCCACTCACCGGGCTGTGGCCGCTGTTCCCATCCTGGCCAAAGTGCCGCTCCACGTAGCGCGAGGAGAGCAGGTGGCTGCCGGGGAAATGAGAGGGGGGCAGGTGAGGAAATGCTGCTGGCTGGGGCAGGTGGGGGACAAGTGAGTCAGATTAACCAGGCCCCTGATGTGCAGGGCCGGTGCCATCCATGTGGCAGCGCATCCACTGGCCTTTCCCCCTGTGACTGCAGGCTCAGCCGCCCAGACCATGCACCCAGCAACCCTGTTCCCCTTTGATCCCGCACCCCTCGGGAAACACACACACACACAGTCCACAGCCCCGTTCCCCTTCGATCCCGCACCCCTCAGGAAACACACACACACACTGTCCACAACCCTGTTCCCCTTTGCTCCCGCACCCCTCGGGAAACAC